CGTGTAGAAAACGTGAACTTTATTCACTTGACTACTTCTAAAATCTACACTACAACGTTACTTGAAGACTATGGGGTAAGAATCTTAAGCCTAAAATACTTCAATACTTCAACTGTTTAGAATTGAACACTAAGGGAAAGGTCAACTTCTTGGGGGAAACGTGGTGGGGAATCCTACAACTAACAATAGGGGTGTGGCTAACTTCTAAGATGGGGAACGTCGCAGTGCCTGGGCTGGGCACTGGTCACACATTCCCCGTAAGGTTCTGAAGACAGAGTGCCGCACTGGAGGTCAGAGCTGCGGGGAGGTGCGGAGCCTCCTGCCAATGCCCTCTTTTGCCGCCATCTTGGTTGTTGGTCTCGGCTGAGAGCGAAGGCACAACCGCATCAAGTCACGGTTGTGCCTCAGCAGCTGCATCAACTTCTTTGGACAGCCGTGTCTTCGATGGCGGCGGGGCCCTGCACGGCCTGAAGGGCTCCGGAGATTCCGCTGCAAGGCAAAGCGCAGGGATCCCCATGGAAGAGGCAGAGGGGCAGAGCGGGGCCGGCACCCACAAAGTGGGGCTGCCTTTGGCCTCGGAGACAGAGACTCGGGCTCAGTTGGGCTGGGCTGCCCCGGGGAAGAGGCTGCAGCATGCAGAGCTCTGGCCGCCTCTGCTTGGTGCTGTCCATGGGGCTCAGCCCCTGGGCCGGATTCCCCAGCCAGGAGCTCAGGCCCCTTCTGCCGCAGGGCATTGGCCAAAGGGTGCCCAAGAGGCCCTCAAGGTCTGCCCCATCCCGCCTCCCTGACCCCCCCAGCCCCGCCTCACCTCTCCCCAGCATCTCTGAAATCTTCTCTCAAGGGCCCATCCCATGGCCATGCCTATGATGAGCACGCCGACCAGCAGGACTGCCCAGGACACCCACAGGATCTGCTCAGGGTCCGTCTCCTCCGGGTAGAAATCCTCCGGAAGCATAGAAGAGGCATCCGTGCTCTGCTCGAGTTTGCTGGAATGGTCGAGGGGATGGGCCAAGAGCAGCAGCACGTAAAGCTGCAGCAGCGAGGAAGAGCCGTGAGCAGCCATAGAGCTCTGCCGGCAGCACAGAGGCTCTGGGCGTCTCTCTGCAAGCAGGTCTGCCTGGGCTCTGGGGCGCAGCAACAGCTGGCGACAGTTGCCAGGCACCGTGCCGTCGCCAGAGGCTGTGATGTCACAGAAGCACAGAACGCCCTGGCCTCAGAGAGCCCTGAGAGAATGTTGAGTCCAACCTGTGAGCCATGGCGGCAAGCATGGCCAGCAGAGCGGGGCCCGAGCGCTGCGGCCTGGCTTGCCTTGCCCACCTGCCACAAGGATGACTCCAGCAGCCCCCTGTCAGGCCATTGCAGGATCTAATGGCCCTTTCTGGGCACAAGTTCTTGCCAACGCCCAGTGTAAACCTCCCTTGGCACAGCTTCAAAGCCTTGTTGGCATCTGCTCTCTCTTGTCCTTGCCCATCTGGCTGGCGCTGCCGTGTTGCTCACTGGCCTGTCTGTGGGAGAAGAGGCTGTGCCTATGAGTGCTGCTCAGCTTTGAGGCCATCCAAAGGAGGATTTGATTGTGCCTGCTGTGGGAAGGAAGATGCGTGCACATGGCCACTTCTCATAGGTTTTACCGCAGATTTTCATCAACAGCTGTCCTACTGAAAGTAAAGTCTGTTTTAGTGAGTATTTGAGGGGTTCCAGAACACAATGGCATCTCCGGGAAATTCTGCTGGTTCAGTTCTACTGAAGTTTTGAGATGAGTTGCAAATCCTGAAAATTTTCTCCTTGCCGAGGTGGTAATTTCACAGTTTAGATTGTGGGGATATTGATTGCTCAGTGTTGAGGACCTAATGTAACTTTCAGCAGCAGAAATTTTCAACATCCAGTGATTGAGACAAAAACATTTGAAATCTTTTTTTCTGTGGACAGGAATTGCTTCTGTGTTACCTCACATCATCCATTAAAAATTTGATGCCTGGAAAAAGTCCCGAGTGCTGTGTGATTTCCTTGGTCGTGTTCTTTGGAATGGCTTCCCCCCCATTTTCTGAAGCTGGCCACAGAAAGGTAATAGATGGGTGAGAAGTTGTGAAAGGCCAACTGGTGTAGATCTTTGCCTCCTGTTTTGAGGTCTGTGGTGAGCTGTGAGTCAAAGAGCTGATTTGACGCTCTGGAGGTCAGAACAAAATTGAACCTTTTTGCAGCAGGATGGATGGATAGAACCAAAGCACAGCATGGCTGGCACCAGCAAATGAATTAAAATGCATCCCTGGGATATGTCTATTGGATTGTTCTTCTAATATTGTGGTAGTAATTATGATGTCTGAGTACTGAACAAGCAACAAGTACTGAACACCTGATTTGTAGTCAATTTTCTATCTCTAATGTAGCAAAGAAATTTTTAAGAATTGTGTTTTTCTCTCATGGTTGAGGTATGTGTTCTTCACGGGCTGAATCTTAATATCACTTTGTTTTTGTAGAAGAGCAGTTTCAGCAGAAGATGATTTTCCTTGCCCTCCTTTTCATTTTTCTTTTCTGTATTATTGCCTGGCAGGTTAACTTTTGCAAATTCCGTGCTGAAAAATGTTGCTACTAAGGATGGTTGGTGTCAAAAGAGGTTCTTTTCTCGCTTGAATTCATTAAAATCTCCAGGTGAGGGGAAGATTGTATCTATTCCTCTCTTTTTAAAGCAAATTTTCCAAGAGGGATCTAAAATTGCATTTGAGGGTTGGGGTGTGGTTTTTTTCCCTTCTTTCATGTGCAACCTAACAACTCCAACTTCACAGGCCTATTTAACATTTGATCCATCAAAATCAGTCCTTTGATTTGTGTTTTGGAAACTTGTTCATCTTGGGGAATTTGTCATCTTCTCAGGGTATTGAAGGTCAACCAAATGCTGCAGGTTTCATTCTTCCTTTAATATGGTCTATGTGCTGGAGTTTGACTCTTAAGCAGAACTCATTTTTTATTTTGCAGCCTAGCACTTCTACTGTGGGGCTCTGGGCAGGTCAATTCACTTGAGAACGATGGGTAAATCAGCTCCTGGGAAGCTGTGCACTGCCTGGCCCCGATGCTTCAGCATGCTTGAGGTCAGCTTGGCTGTCTCCGACTGTCTAATAATATGCAGAATAATAGAATTTAGTATTCATTTTAATTGCTGATCAATAAGATTTGTTTTCATCTAAATCTGCGTGCTAGTTTCTAAACCACTACAGTCTGTTTCATCAATGACCT